GCCCGGCGACAAGTGCGGAGCTACGAGCCCTGCTCCAGGCAGACGTGCTGCCTTCTCCGGGGGAGGCGGCCGGCTCGGGCTCCTTGTCACCGGGCCCTGCCCCCTCCCCGCGGGCCTCGCAAACCGGGGCCGACCGCCCGGGCTGTCGCCAGCGCAAAGCGCAACGGAAAGCGATGCGGACCCCCTCCGCATCGCTTCAACCCCCTGGGTTTTTTAACTACAGGGAAATCATAATGCTACTACTAATAATTCCATCATAGTCATCATAATGATAATTATACGACTGCTGATAATGGATACTACTAATGATGATAGTGATGAATGACGGTGAACATCCCGGTACGGAACTTGCGGGCCTGGGGGCTGTTCCCTGCGGTGATTGCTCGGGCAGATTTCAGCACGTTGGAAACGGCCCTTCGCCAGCCCTGTCTCCGGGGAGAGGATCTGAGAAGGTCGCTTTGGCCCCGGCTCATGGAAAGGGCTGGCAGTTTCTGGCGAGACTTGGCCATCGCTAACTGCTCCAGCGACGCCCGAATGGAGAGGAACTGCAGGGAGAGCATTTCCGCAAGGAAAAAATAATAATAATAATAACAATAATAATGCTAATAACTACAACAACAAGAAAAAGTCCAGCGAGGCGAAGTGTCCCGGGGGGTCGCTGCCTTCACCGGGCTCCCTGCGACCGGGATGGGGAGGAAAGGGCAGAGCCCAGGAGGGGGCCCCTAGCAGAGAGGTGCTTGTTCAAAGCTACAAGCTGATGATGGAAAAAAGGACAGGGACATGAAAAATGTATGAGCCAAAAACCTCCAACCAAGCTGCGACGGTCGTTCGTTTCTTCAACGATGATGGGAGAAATAAACTCAATTTAAAACAATTTGTTGTGCTGGTTGGAAGAAGGAGGAGGGTTGCAATTTGGGTTTGAAGGAGCTATTGAAAGCTGCTGCTCGTTACAGTCTGTTTTAAATATCTGTTAAGCTCCTGTTAGTTTGGAGAAATTTTGCAAATCAGGATCACATGCCCTCCCGTTTTCTTCCAACCGAAACAAGAAGATGAACCGGGTTTGCACAAAAGTGTCACATGAAGAGACGTCCTTTGTGGGCACTGCTCATGCTCACTAATAAGAAGCAGATGCTAATAATAAAGATAAATAGTAAATAAATGCTAGAATGATATAAACAGGAATCACTGGAATCAACCAAAACATGCAGACAATTCCTGGGATCTGAAGATGAGGCAGCTTGAGTTACGTTTCAGTAAAATACTGTACTAAAAAACGAAGTGAGCCAAACTCAGATTAGGCACAGGGGAGGAAATATTGAATCAACAAGAGGTGGAGACTTGAGCAATGAGCCCTGACAAGGGAATTCCCTTCCCCCAGCCGTGCGGTGCTGGGGACCAGCCTGGCTGGCAGCTCTCACACGAGTGCAATCACTAGCTCTTGAATGGGGAGCTCCGCTCCGGAGCGGCCGGGACAAGTCTCAGGGAACCGAGGAGCGGGCACCGCCGAGGGACTCAGAAACAATCTTTGCGTGTTACACCGCGTTCTGCGTTCCATTGTTCACTCCTGGCCAATCAGGGCGCTCCCTCTCCCTCGCCTCCAATCGCCTCTGGGGCTGCTGCGGCAGCCCGGTGAGGTCACCGCTCCCCCTTCAGTCGGTGCGGGCCGCGGGCCGCTGCGTGCTGACATCATGCTGCGTGTGGGACAGGGCAGGCTCCGCTCCACAACTCCGCCGGGCTGGAGTAGTTAGTTAGCAAACAGCAGGCACTGGGCAGGCAGCCTCCTCTTTCTGCATCATAACACTTTGCACACATCTCTTTCTGCATGGTGGATATTATTTTTCATTATCCTTTTCTGGGTGCTATGGGGGATCATTCCAAGAGTAAGTCGATCGCTGGCATGAACGGTATTTGTCCATATTGTAACGAGCGTTGCGACGGGGATTCTACAAGTGGTTTATTTGCACTGATACTTTCAGAGAGCATTTAAAAATCGGGGATTATTTTGCAGCTAGAAATATTTTCCTTTTATACGGTCTGTTGCTTTTGGTCGTTTTGAAATCCAAACCCTATTTTTCCTTGACGTGTCTTGATTCCAGGCTGCGGAACTCGTTGCTTGGTTTTTTTCTTTTTCTTTTTGGATTTATTTTTTTGAAAACGTTGTAATTGAATGTTTGATTGGATCGTGCTCTGTCCATCCTTTTATTTTTACTAGGCACTAATGATGAATTATTAATATATTAAATTAAACACGTAGTAGAGGCATTAGAAAGGCCTAATCCTTTTTTTTTTTTTAAAGGGGGTGCAGAATAAATGCAGCTGAAATACCGCCAGGAGATAAAATTCATCTCGTTTTCCTTTGTGTTTCAGTAGCTACCTGCTCTATATTTTTCAACCTTCGTCTTTGCCATTGCACCTCCCAATTGATTCTGTAAAATCTCCTTGCGGTCCGAGAGCTTACACAAGCGGTAATTTGTGGAGAATGGCTGCTGCCGTTTTTCAGCTTCGCGATTTAGCTTGCTTGCTTTCTGTCTGTCTGTCTGTCTTTCGCGTGCCTGAAAAGACTAAGGCTTGTAATGACTAGTGCCTCTGTGATTTCAAGCCGTGAGAAGTTCTCGCTAGGGTCGCGGTGCCGTTCTGAATGTCCTCTGCTCGTTTCCACCGGTAGAGAAGCCCGGGATTGCCATGTGTGTGGGCTGTGGGAGTCAGATCCATGACCAGTACATCCTGAAGGTCTCCCCGGACCTCGAGTGGCATGCAGCATGTCTCAAATGCGCTGAATGCAGCCAGTACTTGGATGAAACCTGCACTTGTTTTGTGAGAGATGGCAAGACATACTGTAAAAGGGATTATATCAGGTGATTCAAAAAGCTCTTTATCCACTTAAGGGCAAACAACCCCCCCCCCCAAAAAAACAAAAAAAACAAAAATGAACTTCCCTCTCCCTCCAGTTTCCTGAGAGCTCATTTCAGGAGTCGCCCCCCTCCATCCCCTCCCTGTGAAATTGCAGGTCCCTGCCTGCCAAAGGACAGAGCTAGGGATGTTGCAGGCAGGACAGATGCACTTCCCGTTGATTCGGCTTTGTCCTTTGGAGACAGGA